TTTGACATTTAGGCCAAGTAAGACAAGCTTACCTTAATTTTGTATATTCCTAATTTAATTTTGTATATTTCAATTGTTTATTTAAGACCTTCTTAATCACTGCACATAGTCAATTTTGTGCTATCTCTGTACTTTTATGTTTAATTATTTATGGTTTTAGGCATGCAATTAAAGTTTTTCAATAGAAGATGAACACTACCAAAAAAATATCGCTATTTGTTTCTTCAGAGAACTAATTAATGGGAATACTTTTCATGTTTGAGATAAATTAAATTCGTTCAATTTTGTGCGAGAACAATTCACAGCGCAAGCAAACTTGTTTGACTACAGCCAATCGCTTGGCCACCACCGCAGATCATCTTCGAGCACCGCCACCAACACTATCGTCGCGGCCAGCACCGCCTCTCCGCTGCCCTCCACTTACCACAGCCGTCAACCATCGCGACCACCACCGTTGTCATGTATCGATCGTCACCATTTTTAAATTTTATAGTACATTTATTTTAATTTAAGTTGAATAAAAAAATTATGGGAGATTTACATACATACTACTTAATACTATTCTATTTACATATTTAACACAAGCACCGCCACCCACCTCCAGTTACCACCACTGCTGCCGACCGCCACCAACACTATCGTCGCGGCCAGCACCGCCCCTCCGCCGCCCTCCACTTACCACAGCCGTCAGCCATCGCGACCACCACCGTCGTCATGTATCGATCGTCACCATTTTTAAATTTTATAGTACATTTATTTAAATTTAAGTTGAATAAAAAAACTATTCATTTAAATTTATTTTAAATTAAATAAAAAGCTATATGCTCGCTGATATCAGCAATTCTGTTTGGCTCGCTTCAAAAAGTGCAACACAATTAATGATCGTCCGATTGGACGTTGATTTGATTGATCGATCGTACAGTACTCGCACGTGCTCGCGACTCGCTCTCTCTTTCTTACGAGCAAAAAGGCCAAAGCTCTGTTTGTCATTTCCATGGTAAGTCATCCCATGCTGATATTTACTTTTTTTTTTAATCTATTAAGCATAATTTTTATGTAAATACTAAATATAAAAATAATAAAAATTTCTAAAAAGTTATTTACATGATCTAAAGAATTATAGATATGCAAAGAGATATTATATTAGCCTATGAATTTCGAGACCAAATAAGAGCATCTATGATGCACAACACGGACACGGCGACATGGATACGACATGACACGGACACGGGACATGTCAGTTATTAAAAATATATGACACGGACACGAGTTGGACACGATATTATAGTTTTTATATTTAAAAAATAGTTCATCAAAATTAAGTAAATATAATATTAAAAATAATTTGAAAATAATAAGTCATTTAACTAGAATCTGTAATTAAAATGATTAATATTAGGATGTCGAGAGTCAAGCGTCGATGCCGTTTATCAGTCACCGAGATAGGAGATGAATTGATGAAAATACATTCACTGCCAAAAAGAAATGAAAATGAGAATATTCGATGATTTGGTATTAAGTGCGGAAGTTGATTTGGTGTTGTGGATAGGAAAT